TTCATTCTCCAAAGGATCAACCTCCTGTGTCACCGGAGGCTCTACCTCCTGTGTCACCGGAGGCTCTTGAAGCAAAACGTACAACTCAATAGAGTCATATCCAGAATAGACATGGCTGGAAATCATATTCTGGAGATCCTCGTCATCTTGAACTTCAACCTTATAAAAAATTACTTGGTTGTTTCCAAAAAAAACTGGATTCTGATAAAATATCTGGGACACCGGGCCTCGTTCAAGTTTGGCCTCCAATCTTTTCTTGAAGTACAAGAAATTGGCTTTCCCGTTTAAGAGAGATCGAACGTTGTCGGTGTTTCTAAACAAAAACCCAACTGTGGGACAAATGTATGTCTCACCGTTGAAATGTGCTTTGACGACAAATTGTGGTGAAGAGGCCATTGCGTAGAATTGTTTTAAGGTTTGAAGGTTGGAATGTTTGAGGTTTATTGATTGTATGAAGGTATGAATGTTGTAATGTTTGAAGGTTGGAATGTATGAATTTGATGACTGATTCGAAGGTTGGAAGATTTGACAGATTATGTGAATCAATGTTATGTTAAACGTAAGGCTAAAAATTTCAATTAAGTAAGGATGCAACCCCCCAAGGCTGCCAATAATATTACATGTAATAATGAAACCCCATAGGCTGCCACCTAGCCTGGCCCTATTCTGCACATATACATGTTTTTTTTAAGACTCCACCCATCAACTCCAATGGGCTTGCATGCAATAATGAAAGGAATCCCAAAGGCTGTCACGTAGCCTGAGCCTATGCTGTAACAAATGACACCTCTTATTCGCCAAATGGGGTGGCGACACCATTCATTTTTGTACTCTTTCGCCAAGTCCAATGGCGCCTCCCTTACTGTCCAATCGTGATACATGCATGGGCTTATGAAACCCCATAGGCTGCCACCTAGCCTGACCCTATTCTGCATATATACATGTTTTTTGTAAGACTCCACCCATCAACTCCAATGGACTTGCATGCAATAATGAAAGGAATCCCAAAGGCTGTTACGTAGCCTAAGCCTATGCTGTAACAAATGACACCTCTTATTCTCCAAATGGGGTGGCGACACCATTCATTTTTGTACTCTTTCGCCAAATCCAATGGCGCCTCCCTTACTGTCCAATCGTGATACATGCATGGGCTTATGAAACCCCATAGGCTGCCACCTAGCCTGGCCCTATTCTGCACATATACATGTTTTTTGTAAGACTCCACCCATCAACTCCAATGGACTTGCATGCAATAATGAAAGGAATCCCAAAGGTTGTCACGTAGCCTGAGCCTATGCTGTAACAAATGACACATCTTATTCGCCAAATGGGGTGGCGACACCATTCATTTTTGTACTCTTTCGCCAAGTCCAATGGCGCCTCCCTTACTGTCCAATCGTGATACATGCATGGGCTTATGAAACCCCATAGGCTGCCACCTAGCCTGGCCCTATTCTGCACATATACATGTTTTTTGTAAGACTCCACCCATCAACTCCAATGGGCTTGCATGCAATAATGAAAGGAATCCCAAAGGCTGTCACGTAGCCTGAGCCTATGCTGTAACAAATGACACCTCTTATTCGCCAAATGGGGTGGCAACACCATTCATTTTTGTACTCTTTCGCCAAGTCCAATGGCGCCTCCCTTATTGTCCAATCGTGATACATGCATGGGCTTATGAAACCCCATAGGCTGCCATCTAGCTTGGCCCTATTCTGCACATATACATGTTTTTTGTAAGACTCCACCCATCAACTGCAATGGGCTTGCATGCAATAATGAAAGGAATCCCAAAGGCTGTCACGTAGCCTGAGCCTATGCTGTAACAAATGACACCTCTTATTCGCCAAATGGGGTGGCGACACCATTCATTTTTGTACTCTTTCGCCAAGTCCAATGGTGCCTCCCTTACTGTCCAATCGTGATACATGCATGGGCTGCCACGTAGCCTGCAAGAGTGACACCTTTCATTTTTTGTACATGCATGCATGCATATGTGTAACCCCCTAAGCATGCAAATGTGACACTTCGCAGGCACGCAAGCACAAGCAATCACTACATCAAACTTATTTTCCTATAAATACATACCATATCATACATCTCTCACACCCACACAAGTTTCACTCTCTGCTACGAAATATTTCATAAGTCTATCATACTCTCTATCTCTTCCTAAGTCTTTCATACTCTCAAGCATTCTAAACAATGTCTCTTCTAACAATGGGCGATACTCACAGAGGCACAAGGGAAAACATTGCTGCATTTGTAAGTCTCTTCTTTGGTTATACATTTTTCATACTTCAAATAACGCGTTGTTCATCTTAATTAATCTTACACCTGTTAAATTATGAACTCAGGACACAAAAAGATTCAGAATCCGTTCGCACAACTACCTGGCTCCCGACCCATTTATCGTCCTTTATCTGGAATACGCAGGTTTTGGACATGTGATAAAGATCTCCAACTGCACCATTGACTCGAAGTTCATTCTTGCAATATTGGAAAGGTGGAGACCGGAGACCCATACATTTCACCTACCAATAGGTGAATGTACCATCACGCTAGAGGATGTGTACATGCTACTGGGTCTCCCTATCAACGGTAAGGCCGTGAACGGGTCGGTTCAACAACCCAACTCACAGTGTGAAGAACTGTTGGGTAGGGATATGGTAGAAGGTGGTGGAGCAAGAGGGCAGGGAATACTACTCACTGACCTGAAACGTCATTATGCAAGTTTGGAATTAAATGAAAATTCCTCAGAGAATGACAGAGTAGTAAAAGCCAGAACGTATCTTATGATACTTTTTGGTACATTTTTATTTCCCGAAAGTACGGGAAATAGTGTAAATTTTATGTACTTACATTTACTAACAAATTTTGAAAAAACAAAAAAATATAGTTGGGGTTCTGCAGTATTAGCCCACCTATACAGTTCCTTGTGCAAAAACGCAGTCAAGGAAAAATGTACATTTTATGGGTGCGCATTTTTACTACAAGCCTGGGGTTGGTGGAGGATGGAGTCCTTAAACCCCGTCAACAACAACACTTTCGGTTTCTCGTACGCAACAAAGTAAGTCATCAAGTTATAGCATTTATAACTATTCTGCTCTTCCCAAAATATATGTTAAGAATAACATGTTTCTCATTTCCTTTAGGTACTGCGTGAGGGGTATGGATTACGGCAAGAATCCAAGATTCAATGTCGCACTCTACCGCAATCTGTTGGATCACTTAGGCCCAGATGACGTACGTCGTAGCTTTTAACTTTTGTTCATTTAAATTATTTATACATTACTTTTGCGCTAACCTGATTTAAATTTTATCGCAGTTCATCTGGAGACCATATTTGGGTTTGGGCCATGATCCAAACCCAGAGGATGCAGCAACTTGGACTGCAAAGACTGCAATCATTCGGTTCAACATTGTGGAGATGCACCACAACGGCCGTGTGAAGATGTAGTTCGGAATGCATCAAGAGATACCAAGTGATCCAACAGATTTGTCCCCATGGCATCTTAAAAGGGTCGACGCCCAGTGGGGTCTTACCAACTGGAAAGACTTCGCTCCGGAATGGTGTAAGATGTGGCATAGGCGTCACCGCTACGTCTTGCAATTCCCGGTTTTCCTTACTCAAGGTAACATGCGACACACGGATCAATATTTGTCGTGGTACAGGTCGGTTAGTAACCCAGAAATGCACGTGTCTCATCCGAGGTACTTGGTTGACCCACGCACACAATGGGCACAACCCTCGATTCCCCATCAACAAACCCAAAACCCATCAACCTCCCACCAACCCCCAAGAAGAAACAGACCCACAAACACCCAACCATATTCCCCACCACAACACAACTACAATCAAATACCGTACAACCAACCACAATCACCACCAAACTACCAATACCCCGATATGCCTCAAACCCAACCATAATACCAACCCCAATACCAGCACACCCACATACCCCACACACAATTTCAATCTTCCATATATCCCAATATGGCGCCCTCAACATCCAGCCTTAGCCCTGATATGGGAATGTCGGAAGATTATGACCAAGCCGACCAAACCTACCATCACCCACCATATCACCAAACCACCCAACATCCTCAATACCAAACACCCCAAGATCCATTTCCTTTCTACCCCCCGTACTTAGACGACCAATGCTATAGACCAACCATGGAACCCCACCCACCACCAACACGACCAAACTTTGAGGGTATGGGTAACCGACTGTACCAGAGCGGATCTTCTAGATATGGAGATCTGACTGATTTTATGGATTCAGACCGCATTGACTTCGCTGGGCCATCGACCTTGCCGTAGCAGGAAACGCGACGGCAGCCAACAAGAGAAAGGCGAGGACGGGGATGCGGAACCGGGGGTCATTACCGGGTTCCGGGGGATCACTGATGTATCTTTTTTTTTCCCAGTATTTTTGTATCCATTTTTTTACTGTTATTTTAATGTAATACAGTTGGATGTAATTATTTTTTTTTAATAAAAAGTCTATTTTGTTGATCTCTGTCCAACAGGCAATGCACAGGAAAAAAAATAAAATAAAATTTTTTTTGCCCTAAAAATACACTTAGGCGCCATCTCACTTGGCTTAGGGCATGCCCTAAGCACATAGGCGCCAAGTGAGATGGCGCCTCCCTTAAAAAAAGAGGTGCATGCGCCATTTCAGATGGCTCCTCCTTTGGAGAGTCATCTGAAACATAGTTATTTGCGTATTTTTTTCCGAAACCCGATTATTTGCGAAATATTATTTTAATACTTGGTTATTAATAAAAAAAATTCGAAAAAGAATGTTATAGTAATTATTTGATTAAGAGAATGGTGGGTAAAAGAATGGTAGGAGAGGCACTGAGAATAGTAATTATTTCTATAAAAAAAAGTACCAAAATGGTTGTTGAGTAATTACTTTATAAATTCCGCTTAAAATGAACTATAAGCATCATTCACACTAGCTAGGCTTCCTTTACGAAAACTAACCATGTCTAGCTCAAAAGAATCCTTTGTTGCTCATGTGGCTTTCCTTCCAAGTGCTGGTTTGGGCCATCTCAATCCATGTCTAAGAACAGCTGAACTATTTCTTCGTTATGGATGCAAACTCACTCTCATTACACCAAAACCAACAATCTCTTTAGCTGAATCAGATCTCATCACCCATTTTTGTTCTTCTTTCCCTTCATCTCAACTCAGTCAAGTCGACTTAAATCTCATCCCTTTAGATCCTCCCATTAACGTTAACTCCGTCGATCCTTTTTGGATTCAGTTCGAAACCATTCGTCAATCACTTCATCAACTCTTACCTTCAATTCTATCCACACTTTCACTCTCAGCTTTCTTCTATGATGTTAGCTTGATTTCACCTTTGGTTTCCATCATGGAATGTTTCTCTTTTCCTAGCTACATCTATTTCATAGCACCGGCTAGAATGTTTTCTTTCTTTGCATATCTTTCTGTTCTCTCTGAGAAAAACAAAGATGAAATACATTTTTCATTCAATGGTGATGTTGTTGAAATACCTGGAATTGCACCAATACCAAGATCTTCACTCCCTCCTTTGATTCTTCAACCTAATAGTCTTTTTGAAAAGATACTTATGGAGGATAGTCCTAAACTTACAAAGCTTAATGGAATTTTTATGAACTCATTTGAAGAACTAGAAGGTGAGACACTAACTGCACTTAATGATGGAAGAGTTGTTCCTGGGCTGCCTCATGTTCATGCTATTGGTCCTTTGGTGCCATGTGAATTTGAAAAGGTTCGTGTCTTACTATTCATTTATAATTTGAGAAAGGGTTGGTTGAATTATTTAAATGTGTCCTAAACTTGTGTCTTTGTCTAATGTGTAGGTAAGATGCTCAGCTAATGATTGCACAAATTCTATATTGAAGTGGCTTGATGAACAGGCTGCAGGGTCAGTGGTATATGTTTGCTTGGGAAACAAGACAGAAACAAAGAGGGAACAAATAAAAGATATGGCTAATGGGTATATATCATGTGGTTTTAAGTTCTTGTGGGTGGTGAAATTGAAAGTAGTTGACAAGGAAGAAGAGGAAAATTTAGAGGATATATTAGGAAATGAAATGATGAAGAAAGTGAATGAAAAGGGTATAGCTATAAAAACATGGGTTAATCAAATGTAGATTCTTGGTCACCCTTCAGTTGGAGGGTTTGTGAATCATGGTGGGTGGAATTCAATAGTAGAAGCTATATGGCATGGAAAGCCTATTCTATCATGGGCTCATGATGGGGATCAGAAGATAGCATCAGAAGTAGTGAAAATGAGTGGGGTGGGGGTTTGGCCTGAGGAGTGGGGGTGGGGAAAGCAAGATCTTGTGAAAGGTGAGGATATTTCAAAGGCAATTAAAGAGATGATGAGTGATGAGTCTTTGAGGATCAAAGCTGGGAAAATGAAGGAGGTTGCTAGAAAAGCTGCTGGTGTTGGTGGGAGTATTGAGGTTGTTATTAGAAAACAAATCGAGGAGTGGAAAATCAATGCTCAAGGTATATCATAAAAGAAAAGTGAAATCAGACTCTGACTTGGGATTATTTTTAATTACTTTATGATGTCTTTTTTATTTATTAACTTATATGTATGTTTTCTTGATTGTTTAATGCTAATTAGCTACCTAGTTTGTACCTATCTAGCAATGTATTAAAAAAAGAAGTAAGCTGAGCATTTTTTTAGAGGAGCTATGTATTTTCTTAATAGTGATAATATAAAACTAGATTGAAACCCACGCAATTTAAGTAATATTTGATTAAATATATTTTGACTTTTTTAGTTTAAATTTTTTTGTAAGACAATGGGATGAACATTCAAGACTTCAAAAAATATAGTATAATTTTAATTAAAACAAAATATAGATTTGAAATCAAAATTAAAATTAAAAATATAAAATAAGTGTATAAAATTTCAGTACTTTTATATGCATCATTTCCCCTTTTTTCTGAAATCTATAAAAAATGTTTCTTCATTTTATAAAGTAAAGATATTAAGATGAAACTCTTTATTTTGAGATGTCTAAATTATTTGAGATGGTAGTGAATATGATTGTTGAATATATTGTTGGCGATTAAAATAAATACAAAGATGTTATTTTTGTACATTTGCCTTTAAAATGAAATTAATTTTCAATCTTATACATTTGAATTCTTTCTTTAATCTTAATTATTTATAATTTATTATTTATAATTTATTATTTTGGATATTACAAACAATAAAAAAATATGTTAAAATCAAAATATTGTTTGACATTTCATTTTAAGTATTATATTTTGATAATGTTATGAAATTAACCAAAACAACATAGAGATAAATAGGAGATGAAGAATAATATAAAGATGAAGGAGAGAAAGAGAAGAAAGGAAACAATATTATATTATATATTTTAAACAGTCCCATTTATATTACAATGTTGTCCTTATTTTTAGGACATTGAGAAGGTGAAAAAATATAGCACTTAATAGGAAATAGGAAGATGAAACATAAAAAGATAGAAAGATGGACATCCACTTTGTATTTATTCATAACACTCCCCTTTGATGTCTATTGAGGATATGTCTCGTTAAAACCTTATTAGAAAAAATCCAGTGGAAAAAAATCTAGTGAAGGAAAAAGAGTACAATACCCTTTGAATGTGAATTCCCTCGTTAAAAATCTTACCAGGAAAACCCAGTGGGACAAAATCATGGTGAAGGGAAAAAGAGTGCATAAAATATTTATTTCACACCCTCATGCATATATTTATATGTGAGACAATATTCTTTGTAGTAGTTACTTAAAAATGTAAATAATTTATATTTTAGGAATATCTTATTGACTAAGTTTGTTAGAGGGTATTTTAGTATTTTATTATACCCTAATTTTGTGTATAAATAGCCTAGTAGTAGGTCAATGTAATTATTCATTACTCCTTATTTTGTAGCCGTCATTCAATATATTCCTTTTGTCTTTCATCTCTCATTTGTGCACCAACAATTGATATCTAGAGCTCTTATTCGAAATCTACGGAGAAACACGAGTGAACAATGAGGTGTTGTGTGATTGAGAATCACTTTTTTTTATTCTGTGGAATTTGGGGAACACGGTTTTTTAGTGAGTTTTTGAGTGAATTGCACAAGGTTGAAGATGAACGAAAACGAAGACATCAATTCCAAACTTCCAGTATTTGATGGCAAAAACTGGAATCGTTGGAAGATCCAAATGCGTGTGCTGTTTGGTTCTCAAGATGTGTTAGATCTTGTCACCGATGGTTATGCTCCATTAGCAGCGGACGCGACAGAGGCACAAAAGATAACGCAGAAGGCGATAAGAAAGAAATATCAGAAGACATTGTTCTACATCCATCAGTGTGTGGATGCGAATGTGTTTGAGAAGATTGATGACTCTGAAACAACAAAGGTTGCGTGGGACACACTGGTCAGATGTTACATTAGTGACGCATCAGTGAAGAAGGTGAAGCTTCAGTCTCTCAGAAAACAATATGAGAATCTCAACATGAAGGACAACGAGAAGGTTTCTGAGTACATCTCTAGAGTGATTCTGATCACTAATGAGATGAAAGCTTGTGGAGAAACTCTTTCTGAACAAGTAATCATAGAGAAGGTATTGAGATCTTTAACTTCTCAATTTGATTACATTGTGGTATCAATTAAACACTCCAAAGATCTGAGCACCATGAGAGTTGAAGAGCTGCAAAGTAGTCTAGAGGCGCATGAGTTGCCTATGACCGAGATAACTTATGAGAGAGAAGTAGAGCAGTAGGCTCTGAAAGCAATTTCTGGTAAGAAGTATCAGAAGCAGACTTGGTCAGAAGTCATGAAGAAAACTAACGGTCGTCAAAGGTCAGAAGTTTCAAACTCTGATAGGCAGAAGAATGTCCAGAAGGGAAAGGAGAAGTATAACAAGAAGAATTTTTAGTGTTACTGTTGCAAGAACTTTGGTCACTATGACAAAGATTGTTGGTCAAACAAAGAAAGTCAAAAGAAGCAAATATAGCCAGAGGAGAGTCTGATGATGAACCTGTGCTATTAATGACTTATGAATCTGATGAGGAACCGGTGAAGTTGTCATTTTCTGATTCTGAAGGGGAAGAAGATGACTCTGAATATTTTGACTCTGAAGGAATGCTTGAATATGAGTCTGAATCAGAAGATGGCGCTGAAGATTTGGAAGATGAGTCAGAATCTGAAGAAGATTCTGCTTCTGAAAAAGAGTCAGAAGATGATGACTATGTGTTGTATCCCAAAATTTTCCCTCTCATTTATCAAGGCATTTCTCACAAGGGTTCTCAAAAGTTCAAGCTTACACAAATACAATTGGATTTTTTAGCATCAAGTTAAAAATGAAATTGTTAAAAAGGGCAAAGCAGATGAAAATACTTTTTTTGACAAAATTGAAGGAAAAATAAGTTTCCTTCGATTTCACATCTTTCGATTGGCCACTTTGGCTCCTTCGATGCAAGCTTTGGTTACACCTTTTGTTTGAGCTTTGGACTTATTTTGGGAAAGTTCATTTCCTGCTTCATTTGGGCACTAGACTTCTTTTGGACAAGTTTAATTCATGCTTTCGTTTGGACATTTTTTTTGTGAAATATTGGTACATCTTTCGTTTGACCATATAGCCTATTTCCTGCATGTTTGCAAAATTCACAAGGCAGAATTTCCCCCATGATAGCATACACAAGGCCAAAGTCTCCCTTTGAAACAACTTGTTGCAAGCTTCGACAGGGAAACACTTATCTTCAACTAGCTTCAATTCATAACAAAAAGCCTCCTACTGATGTCCTTCGATTTAGGAGGCAAATACCTCTTTTCTGGCCTCTTTCGATTACACATTTTGCCTCTTGCAGGCCTCTTTCGTCTGGGGCATGTGACCCTCCTTTGTTGCAAGCTTCAATGGTTCCATTTACCCTTTGCGTGCATTCTTCATTTGGGGCGTGTGAATCCTTCAATACAAGAATAAAGACTCCCTTTAGGCCAGAATGCACAAGAAAAAACTCCCCCATGGCTAGAATTCACAAGGCAATGGCGCCCACAAAGTATTGGTTACTTTCACGCTAGTTTCGACTGGACAGTATCCCCCTTGGAAATAGTTTGTTTCAACATAAAAATTCTACACTATGCCATTGTCTCGTGCGAAAGAAGTACCATGATGGCAAATTCGAAGGACTTGCCATACATGCCAGTATGTCCCAATCAAATGACATGTTTTGTTGATCCACTCCAGGAGCATGTATTTGGACCATTCAAAGAAACCCACAAAAGGCCTGGTCGAAAGACACCTATTTGGGCCCCTTCAAAGGATACCCATATGAGCCATTTGAAGGACACTTTAATTTGAAAAAAATAAATGTTATTGAAGAGTCTGGTCGAAGGATAGGGCTAGGGGGTCAAAACAAAAGGTTGAGATGCCCAAAGGTACTTGCTGACAAAGTCCCATGCGCTGCCAAGTTCATGCCTGATACGCTGGCCATAATACTCCAAAACTGCTGCACAACAGTCCTGTAACACTGTCTTGTTTCTTGCACCAATTTGGCATACGAATACTGCCCCTCGAAAGCTACAAGCACAACATACATTTTTTGTTTAAACTTTTTTTCCCTCCTAAAACATCAGCCAAAGCCATCTATAAATATGAGCCTCCATCACACATCTTAGGGGCCCCTGGATAGTTACAAGAAAATTTTTGTTGAAAAAGTGATAAATCTCTAAAAAAAAATCTCAACCACTCTCAAACGTTTTTAAATATTCCAAACACTTTTGAAAAACTCATACCCCTTCACACACTAAGTGAACCCTTCGATTCACTCCTTAAGTTTCCAGATAACTCACTTTCGACCCATTTCCCAACTACAATATAGTAATCCTTTGATTAATTTCTTTACTTGTTATAGAGGAACCTTCGATTAACTCACATATCCTCCTTCGATTCAGTGATTGCTTGAAAGAAGTAATAACTAGACTAGTCTCAAGAAGGCCCCAACGAACTTCCATTCACCACCAAGGAAGATACTTGCAGTTTCCTTCGATTTAAGAACTTCAAGAGGTAAGTTATATTTAAACATGGAACTATTTAATTTAAATATCATGTGTACATGCCAATAAAGAGAAAATGTAGATGTTTCATATAGGGAGCTTGACCATGTTTTAACCTTCGATCCTGACTGCCCATATGTTGAAAATCTCAACCCTGACTAGTTAGGCTTTGGACTTTGAGACCCAATAATTTGTGCTAACCCCTGGCATGTAGCTTTCAAAAGTTACACTTGGATGTTGCATTTTAAAATTTTAAAACAGGTTCTCTATGTCCTTCGATTGGCTAAGTACTCAAGCCTTTCGAATCTCAACCTGAGGGCCTAACATTCCTGCAGTCAAAGGAGGCAGCAAGGATCCTGAGGCAAAAAGTGCACCTCACCTTGACCCCAGGCCTCAAACGAAGGAAGTATCCAGTAGGATGTCCACACTGACTGCCAAGTCTCAAACGAAAGAAGCAGCCAGAAGGATGGTCACG